TTATTTTAGCTGTTGTGTTGTGATAGGCATGTTCGACTCGAGTAAGCGTGCATGTCTGAACACAGTAACTGTGAAATCAGGTCTATGACTAGTTCTTGTGATGAGTAATCATAATCGCAAAAGTTACAAAAACGTTGCTAAAAATATCAAAATACGAAATGAATTCAAGTAAATATAAATTCTATATACAGAAAATAAATTTATAAAATTAACGAAATGTAATCATACAATAAACAATCGATTAACAATGGTAATATTCGTAATTTAAAATCCAATTAAACCAAAATTTATTCACAGTAGTTTTATATTTTGTAGATGAGTTGGTATTCAGTCGGTGAGGATCAGGACGTCTTAGTACATTCCCGCTAAATGTTACAACAGCATCATTAATGAACCGCAGTGCCTCAAACACATTCAGAGAATTAGTGAGTAGATGGTAGTTGTACTCGTTTGTAATTCAGTGTACGTATATTGCGCTATGAACAGATACGATAGATAGCACAAAATTCGATGAGTTTGTATCATAACGTTGCTTTTTGGTGGCCCAAGAATCGTGAGATAACGTATACTAACCATAATGACATCAACTAGTTTATGAATAACTGAATTAATGGCACTAAATAAAACATATTAATATTTGACATTCAGTAACAAATATGGACTATATATTTTTGTTCTTGACATAACTGAGAGTTGTCGGTACTTTGAAGACATTTGCGTAAATAGTCACCAGTGGAGCAGGCATGATACAAGGGACGTCGTTACAAATCGAGACATACTTGGCATAGGCACCACTTTCGTTACATCACATCATAGCCAGAATATCTTTTATCCAGCGTCGTAAAATACTAACTCACACGACTACTGTTTTTCTAAAATGCCGTAGCACGTATTACCAGTCGTTCAGGCAATTTGAACACGTCAAACCAGTACTTACACTGCCCTCCCCTCTCCCAAGTTGAAGCTCGCATTCAGTTCAAGATGTTGTCGATCGCATCACCATGGAACTGCTCTACAATATATGGCGACTCTAGTAAACTTGTATGGCCCGGGACGATATTTTCGCTCAGCCAAAAATTTAAGGTTCGTTCCCGCGTGTCGTATATTCAATAAATCATACTATTAAATGCTAGAAGCATTTTCTGTGTGCGCACCACAGTTGTGGAACCAGTTACCGATTTGTAATTCTGAGAATATCGACGAAATTTGAAGACTTATCATTTTACTAAACATTACCTGTTGTGATTTTTAACTTTTGTGACAACATTTTTATGGTTAACGTGCAACGCACCGTTGTGCGTTTTTGTAAATACAGATATCGACTAATGGCAAGCATATAACTGTGACTTTAGGAGGAAAGGTAAGGTTAATTTACTCATCATTCATTTTGTGTCGCTGCTCCATCAAAACGTAATGTCCTTCAAAATGTTGTTATCACGTGATCACAACTAAACAGTATAATTTTTTTTTGACGTTAGAGAAAAAAAACACTGCAAAGGAATCAAGCTCGTTCTCATTAAATGTGACCATCCACTTCCAGTCGGTGTAATCTGGTGCGCCCTCATTCGGAAAAAAATAGTGGATACAAAAAAAAGAGGGCGCTCGTGGTTCATATGTCGATGATAATCAATATATTTCAAACTATTTTACTTGAAGAGATATCCCGGGTGTTTGTATAGAGTTTATTGTCACTGATTCTTGATGAGTAAATTATAGAAGAAAAGGTATACTCGCTGGATTTTATTTTCACTGAACCATCTTTTAAAAAATGAACCCACGCAGAAATAAAGTATGTTACAGTAATTTGAAAAGAGTAAAACGATCTTTTTATTTGAAAATAGCACTGGGCTGCGCCAATATTGGATGTAGGTATACTATCCACTTCATTAATATTTGTTTTGTTTTCAGCTTTGTTCTCTGTATCGTATGTCGTATGGTTGCTTAACTAGGTTAGTCGACCCACATAAACTATGGAAAATGTACTAAATACAAATACATCATACGGAGGGAAACAGAGTACAATTGGATTCTATCCAATACATTAGATAGATGCTTCCCCGCTCAGAAATGATTAATGCAGCTCGTTGAACTTGAAAACGTTGAATCTGTGTATTTGATTTTTATTTACTCGATGTGTTAAAATCGAAGCTTATCCGAGAAGTTTGGGTTCATTTAGAAAGTTAGGTTTGCTTAAAGGACGGTGGTCGTCGTGACGCACCCTGTTCGACATATCATAGGACTCATCGCGACCTAATAAACAACATGTGTAAATTAACAGGACAGCCCTTTAATTTTGTTCGAGAACGAAAATGCAATCCATTGAATTGATGATATGCTGTATTTTAAATCAATATACAAATGACGTACTAGTAAATAGATGGCGTCACTGTCTCGAGTCACTGTGCTATATTTCGAGAGAATATTGGTTACAAATTCACTGAATCTAGAGAATGCTGGTTATTTTTTATTTATTTGTGGAAAGTTTGTCTTGGCTGTCACGGTATGCCTCAAGCTGAGGATCGCTTGTCAATCCCTGATTCGACCATGTATTGCTGTTATTGCTATTTGCCGTTTTTTTCTTGTTCGTCTTCTGCTGGGTTGTGTTTTCTTAACCCCCCCCCCCCCCATGAACTGTAAATTGGTTACGTATCTAGTAAGTACATGGTGTTATTTCTCCCGTGAATATTTAAAAATATTGCCATTGATTGATTGTAGACACGCGGAAGTTCTTATAACTGACTCAGAAATAAAATAAATACTAAAAAGTACTAAATACTGAACAGAATGCATAAATTACATTAAAAATACCAACACTAACAAAAGGACAGACACAGACGCCGGGAAAAATCATCAAATTCTATTTTAAAAACCTGGCGTAATTAAATCGGCTAAGTATGAAAACACCAACAGTGGCCTCGCCTGAATGCCGTTATTCGGACTTAATAGACTTTACTCAATAAAAATCATGAATTTGCGATGAAAACAGTGAAACGAGGCAAATAAAAATATAGTGTCATGAGTTATTATTGGAACGTGTATACTGCGGAAATTGTTTCCAATAAATTGTTGTGTGATGTGTTTTTTACAAAATTTACTGTTGACAATTTTTTAATATGATCATTTATACACCCACGTGGGTTGTATCAATATATTATAAAATACTAGGATGCTATACGAATAGTATATTCTCACTTTGTTTGATGAGCCTGTCTGTTATGAATCTTGTCAATATTATAGTGACTGTGACATGCTACGCGCACTTACACCCCAGAAGCGAATTCATTTCGGTCAAGTACCGTTATGTATGCATCAGTTAACAACGATACGTCATCGTTGAAAATTCGGAATGACGATTTCAAAAATGTTTGGAATACTGTACTAGTATCCCCGGGGGTAAATGTACCCGGAGGGGGGGGGGGGTAAATGCGTGGGTACATGTCCGTCTTGCGACCAGGCACAGATTTAGATTTGCTGTAAATCACTTTGATTCAAGATTGATTTTTTGAAATTTAAAATTTTTATATTTGTAGGATTTGAAATCTGGGATTTTTCCCATATTTATATTGACAATATATTCACCTAAATTCAACCTCCGTCTGTATATGCATTTCGTGTGTGTCTACTCGTCAAATAATACAAGCAGCGGCGACTCTTTCAGCGACGCGCATTAACTTTCTTGTTAAATTGCACGGAGAGTTTGAAACTTTTTGTCTGCTATCACACCACACAAATTGTATGTACGAGAATGGTGTATGCTATACTTACTTAATGCGTAGATACATATAGTTATCCCAGGAAAGTCTTTATTCCTCAGAGTAGGAATATTATAATTTAAATGTCATCCTTTATTTGTAAAGTTATATTATTTCTCGTTATTTAGTGTTTTAAAAAGGCATACTCTCAGCATAACAAAGGTATTCCCTTCATTTTTATAAATATTTATAAATGTTAATGGCAGCCAATCAAAAAGCAACGACATCATTTGAAAACGTTCCAATATTATTCAATTTGCCAATAGGAACCTCTCGTTTCAGTTTGAATTGTGAAATTTATAAATATTTATAAGATGAAGGGAATACCTTTGTTGCGCGTATAGTATTTGAAAAGTTGTATCATCTCTCGTTATTTATTCACTGTTATTTAGTGTTTTAAAGGGGCATGTCATTGAAAACGCCAACAAGCTTGTGTAGCCTACACGAGAAGTGGATACAAACCTTGTCAACAATCTGGAAACAAGCTTTTATTCAAATAACCAGTTGGGAGGGAAAATATGATCAGCTTTTTACTTTTCACCTTGGAATTTGAAGTGGCCAATTAGTAGTAGCAAAATAGTTATTCTTCATTTTCTCGTAGATTGCTTCTGTGTAATGTCCCCGGAGAGGGTATGATACAGGTCAATACACGCCAATCAACTTATAAGCACCCGGGAACCAACATAATGTTGAATAAATGATGATATATTTATTTTGACCTCACTGTTGCCATAGACATTTTAGTCGAATCTGGTATCTCTACGTGTAAGTGTCACCCGCTAAGTGAGTCACAGTTCCCCGAACACAACGCTAGTATTACGCGGTGACGCCGAGTGGTTTTGAAAGCTTATCTTACCGACCTTATTTTGTAAAGTAAATAAATTATATGAAATGATGAGTTGAACACGATATGAATATAATTATGCAAAGTATATTATTTTACGGGGAATTGTTATACAACGTTATGACGATGTGTATTATGTCATGATAATTCTATATAAAGCAATACTATTGTTAGTTTAAATAGGGGTCAGATAAAGAATTTAAACGATTTTCAAAAACAATCCTGGTTTCTAGTTTGATAATGACGAACATGATTATTCCAGTATTGCCACGATGATCAACAGGCGAATTAAATTATGTAAATGAGGCAGTATTTACAAGTATATGCAAATATGATCCAAAGAAGCCATATTGAAAACCACATCCCCGTGGCTGATTGATTGTCCAGCGAAGTCACCATCGTCATTATCATCCAGAAAGGCAGACGCGTAGTTAGCTCCGTAAGCGCGGCTTTGTCATCGTTCAGTGCCAACAGAATAGCCGCGTGAAATTATGAAGTTGTAGTCTTGCTGAATTACGTATCTTTTTCTTTCCCTTGAGACGTCAAAATTCACCATGTTAAGCAAAGTAAAGAGCTTAGGTCGCGAGAAGCGAATGATGAAGTTGATGGAAGAAGAAACACGATGCACCACGATCGGTTTGCTGGACGATGGCGACCCTATAATATGCGATTTTAACGTGAGTAGTATCTTTTACTGAATAATCGAAATAGTTTGTGTGGACACAAAATACTGTCGAATATATTGTATGTCAAAATGATAATTTGATGGATGAGGTATGCCGCTCGTTCAGGAAATATGACGCCTTGTTCATATGCAAATTACTCATCGATTTTAACTTTAAGTTTATTAAACTTTAAACATGTTACCATTTCGTGGAAAAATAAACAATCAACGCAAATATGCGTGTTTAGCAGTAAATTCATGCACAGTATGGATATATCTTAACTACTCGTGAGAAATGCTTCGAATATTTTAGGTATTAAACACCACTCTTTGTCAGACGCACAGCAGCTCGATAGGGCAAAGGTCACCGAGTCTTATAGCTCGGGATCTCCACTGAAACTCGCTGTGTTGCTCCAATGATATTACACCAAACCATCGCGATACATTCATTTATCCAACATTTAAAAAAAAGTTACTGTTGTATAAATAATAGATTAGGATAAAAATAATAATAAAATTGCCATCTATATATTGATGTGTTCTAAATATAAGGATAGATATCGGTAAAATCAATCAATATTTTCAAATAAATTTGTTGTTAAATTTATTGATTAAAAACCAATAAAACAATTCTTTACATATTATATCCATGGATTTACCCAATAGCTTGAGATAGAATATATATTTTTTGAAGGCCAAAGTGGAACCGCTGTTATATTATAGTATAACGTTACTTCCAATAATAACTTTAATCGTACCACATAATATTAAAATGAATTTTGAATACCCTCATTATTTGGTCTCAATCATAATGGATTTGAATTTTGCTGACAATTTATAAATTGTATTAAACAATCAAACTAATGTCCTCTCACCTGTCCTTAGGTGATGGTCTAATGCTAAGTAACAGAAAAAAAATATTCATGTTTTCGTTCATATTCTACGTTGGTTTGTAACACGTGTGCGTAACAGCTATTTCCTCAGAATTTTCAGAAAAAATGAAAGAAAATTCAGTTTTCATAAAAATATACAATTTTAAAAAACAATTTCAGAATAAAAATGAAAAATAAAAAGTCGCATGAGTCAATTTAAAAACAAAACAAATTGACCTGAAACATTTTCTTTTGCTTTCTTGACCTAACATTACATAATGCAATTAATTGACAGTTGTGTATACTTGCATTGGATACTTCAAATTAAATTTTAAAAAAATTGGTCCTAGAATTAGCATTTTATGATTTTAAATACTGAAAGCTGGGTAATCTAACTAACCTGCTTGTATAGTTACAATCAAGAGTTGTTGTTTTTTTGCTGAGACATCAACATGTTTAAAAACCCACATTTGTTATGTCGTCACATCGAACCAATATTTACCATATTTTATAACAAAGCACAATATTGAGAAAATTGAAGGTATGTGGCTAGGAAAAGTTAAATTTAAAAAATAAAAAAAGTTTAAAATCAGGTGGCCACAAAAAAAATTGTAGGAGTTTGCTTTTAAAATTAAAACTTAAAATTGTAAATGTGATTGATACTCTCAAAAGGAGCTTAAATTTTTGGAGTTCAGATACTGAAATCAATGGCAGAATTTAGGGTACCTAAACAATGTATTGACAAAGGAAACTTGTTATTATATGAAGTTTTATGGGAAGGCCCAGATAGAACAGCTAGGAAAAACATGGCTGGTGATACTGATAGTGGATGACTACATGTACCTGATATAACAGCTATATATATGGATCACAAGGAATAACTTGGATGAAGAGGTTATGCAAAAGTAAAATTATCTAACCATGGACCTATTTAATTTTTATTAAAAAGTTTGAAACTGAAAAAAAAACATGATGAAAAACATCAACTATGGCACTTTAAAACTGACCCACTTCTACAAAAAAACAAACGATGAATCATTGATGGCAACACTTACACCTCCAAACAGTTGTTGATTAACCTTTCCTTTTCACTCTAAAATACCTAAATATTATGATGTGTTTTTTAATAGCATTATATGTGATGCAAATGGTTCTGATGTGTGAATATTTTTTTCTTAGACTCAATTTAAAAGCGAAAATGTACAATTTCTGAAAATACTGAAAAATCATAATAGCAATTTCTCATTTACACTCATTAGACCTATAGATATGATAGTGGAGTCCGTGTGTATTGGTTAACTGTGAATGCATATACTACTGATTTATATACCAGTGTATATTAGTACTACCAGTATCATATATTGTTTCAGAAATCATCAAACAATACTAAACAATTGAAAAAAAAAAGTAGACAAGAAAATTATAAAAGCATTTCAAAAATAGCTCTCAAGGGTAACAGATTTAAAACTTGTGGGAGGTGAAAATTAAAAAAAAAAATGTTGCAAGAAAACTATTAAAATATAAAAAAAATTGTAGTATCTGTAGATAGAAATGATATATTTGCAAAAAAACTAATTTCTTCACGCCCCCAGTTTTCAAATGGCTCAACTATTACTCAGATAATATGTTGTTTTTGTTATTTTATGCCCATGGAGTGAATGAATGAATGAATGAATGAATGAATGAATTAATAATTAATTAATTAATTAATTAATTAATTAATTAATTAATTAATTAATTAATTAATTAATTAATTATATTACTATATTTATCTGAAACACAAAGTTGAAGAGCGGTGGTTGTCGAGCCACACATGCGGGAAATATGGGACTCATATCTACAAAGTTGGCTACTTTGCAGACCAATGAGTATAAACTGAGACGTTACCAAGCTTTAACTAGTGTTGGTAAAAGGTATCAAAGGACTCACTGACGGTGATTAATGCATGTTGCACCCAGATCAAAACTCATGCTTATGATTTCCATTAGAAGAGCGCATTGGATTGTGGGAAAATCAATGTTTATCAACACAAATGTCGCACATGCGCGGTGCATCGACCACCGCGCTTTAAATATTATTTGATGAATGCATAATAAATATTAATAAAAATATCCATCTATCTGATTAAAAAAAAATTAAATGTGCCAATTAAGTGATCTGGTGTACTGGAAATTAAAAGTGAGTGGAACTTATATTTTAACTGTTCACATAAATCCTTGGACAAATTGTTGGAATAACATTAAGATATGTAATTCTATCTTCCTAAACAATGACTTCTTTCTCAGAATTTCAAATTTTCTTCTTAAAAAATATGCCCATGTTTTATTGTTTTTATTACTTAGTACTGCTACTGTAATTACTCTATTACAAATGCATACATTGTGTAAAAATCTTTGTAACAAGTGACAGTGTTACTAGCTTGATGAACTTAATATTACAAAAACACGGTCACATAATCTTACTTTCAATAAATAATGTGCAGTATATTTACAGTCACTTGGAACTTTTAATTTTCCTGATATTACACTGGCTATTATAACTCTATAGAAAGGATTTATTAAGTTAATTTTATAATATTGTGTTTTTTTTCTGGTTTATTTATTTTTTTTACCTAGAAACAAAATAAAGTGAAATAAATTCTGCATTCTATTCTGAATATTAAGGTAGAGATGCAGGTTCGTTGGAACTTTTTTTTTTTTTGCTTTTTATTATCCAAACAGTCTTGGCTATAGACTGTTAAAATTTTGTAGAATTGAGAATAGGGGAACATACTCAAAAACAATTTTAAAATGTAGATGACTGGTGCAAACATTCTCTCTTTTGAATGCTTAGCAAGATTTAGCAAGGCTGTACATAAATAATAAAAAAGAAACAAGGTGAAAAAAAGAAATGACGAGATCTCCATATTATGCACTATATTTAACTTTTAACAAAACGATAAATACATTTAATTTTGGAACTGTTACAGCCATTTTAATTATGAGCATTAGCAAACTTCTTACTGAGTGAATTGTTATGCAAATTAGCAATTATCTGTGCTTCTTTTCAGTGCACATCCTAGAACTTTAAAAAAAAAGCTCCTAGACTCTTTGACCTTTTGTTTTGAAATTTTCACAAATGATTGACAATGTGTTTATCTTCAAAACGCCGTCGGGGCATTGTTTTTTGGTAAAATAGTGTTACAGCAATCGTACAGACAACTAGCCTGGGTGTTAATTTATGCATAAACTTGAAGTAGTGAAATTTGGGCTGCTGCCCTGCAACATTGACAACTGGTAGACAGTTTTCAAGACGGCACTTTCTTCATAGTAAACAGAAATACCCATAAACCAATTTTGACAGGAAACAGAAGCATGGTTTAGGAGCTAATTTTTTTAAAATCACTTTTGACCAAAAAAGCAAATTTTTGTGCATATTTCAAACTACAGTGACCATAAAAAAAAATACTAACAAAATTTTAAAATTCATACAATAAGCTTTCCGAAAATATATAGTTTTGTGGACAAGGGAGGTCATCTTAGTTTCCTATTTAACTATATTTAATTAAAATAGCTGTCAGGTAAACTGCATCTCTACCTTAATATAAGCTATCCATGGAATAATGCATTTATAGATTCCTATAGAAAAAGTTTGATAATAGCCACTTTTTGGATAATTCAGTATGTTTTCTTTAAAACACATCCTTCTATCTCCATAAAAACCCACACAGTGGTTTTTGAATAATTTATTGTTATAATTTGTTTCCATGTTTTCATGGTAATGTTACCTTAATGTTACACTCATTATTAAAGAAAACGATTTAAAGCTCGGTAGTTGATTTGATTTTCCCACAATCCAATGCACTGATTACTGCCGGTGACTCCTTCGATACCTTCCAATCACATGAAAATTACCTAATTACAGCTTGGAAACGTGTTGATTCGTACTCGTTGATCTGTGCAACAGTCAAAGTCGCCATCTTTGTTTATATGAGACCCATATATCGACGATTACCGCGCTTTAAGTAAAAATATAAAATCAATTGTGAAGTGGTATTTTATTATTTGAACTTGTCAGCATGACAATACAAAGATGTCACAGTTCATGTAATTCACAGCTCCTTGAATACTAACGTGTGCGATTCTTAAGCATTGCATCATGGGTAAATACATGACAACATAGCTCATACTATTAAACAATACATATGTAAAAAATGTCATGCATATTTAGGTTAATAGTTTTAAATTGACAAAAGCCAGATGTATTGACCCAGAAGTTCACATCATGTACATACTTGCACCTCTAACATGTTGTACAATCATATTTGAAAAAAAATAAACATTGACAGTGTATTTTTTTTTGATCAATTGTTCACATTTATAATATTTTTATTGATTTTAAGACCAGATTACCCAAATTTGACATTGAATGCAGGTTTGAGAATATCTTGTGTGTGGTTAACAAAAGTTACCAAATATGGTCTTAAAATGGGTAATCATTGTGACAGTAATTTAAACAAGTAAAACTTATTTTTGAAGTATCAACTTTCATACAACAGGTGAGAGACATCAACCTAGCTGCCATCCCATTAGCAGGAGGCACCACTAAGGTCTTTCAAAAGTCACTTGATTAATTGTATCACTGATATTACAAGGCTGAACTGGTTCTAATATGATCAGCTCTGCTGTCATTACATTCATTATCATTCATAAAACATTCATATTTGTAACAAATTTTTAGCAAATTACAATTCAGTAAATAGTAATTACCAGAATAGCTGCAGAAATACAGTAGGAATGATAATTTGATGAAATAATGATGAACATGAATAATCAACATAAATGTCAATATGGACATGAATGGCATGACGATGAATATGAATGTTGCTATATGAACATGAACGTTAATTTAAACATGAATAGTAAACAATCAACATGAATGACACTATAATGAACATGAATGACACTATAATGAACATGAATGACACTGATGAACATAAATAAAACTGGCAAACATGAATGACACTATGTTGAACATAAATGACACTGATAAACATGAATAATATTATGATTAACATGGATGACAATATGACAAATATGAATGACACTGATGAACATAAATGACACTGATAAATATGAATAATACTATGATAAACATGAACAATCAACATGAATGACTCAATGATGAATGTGAATGACACTATAATGAACATGAATGACACTATGTTGAACAGGAATGATACTATGATGAACATAAATGACACTGATAAATATGAATAAAACTATGATAAACATGAACAATCAACATGAATGACTATATGATGAATGTGAATGACACTATAATGAACATGAATGACACTATGTTGAACAGGAATGATACTATGATGAACATGAATGACACTGTTGAACATGAATGACACTGATGAACATGAATTACACTGATGAACATGAATTACACTATGTTTGACATGAATGGCACTATAATGAACATGAATGACACGATGACAAACATGAATGACACTGATGAACATAAATGACACTGATAAATATGAATAATACTATGATTAACATGGATGACAATAATATATGATGAACATGAATGATAATGAATATAAATTATGGTATGAATATAAATTATAGTATGAATATACGATAATACAATTAAGTCATGTGATAACATAATATTCTAATATGATAAACATGAAGCCAGACTAGATGTAGCTTTTGTTCGCTTGTCTTTTTGTTTAAATACAATTTTATTAAATTTTACAGAAAGACTCAAAGGGACAGTTTCTGATGGACAGAGTATGCAATATGCTGAATATCCTAGAAAGAGATTATTTTGGACTGCGCTTTATTGATGGTGAGAAACAAATGGTGAGTTGCTATGAAAACAGCATTGTAGCTAGTATGTATTAGCCAATGCTATTTGGCAGGGTAAAATGTTTATTCATTTTGACTATATGTGGATTGCATTGGTTTAGGGTAGACAGAGACCTACATGTTGCATTTCAGTATATGTTTTTGTGTCATATATTTGCAAATATATATATATTATGAGTCTGATATAATGAAAATGAAACAGATATAAGATAAATAAGCAGATATATATGGCAAATGAGAAAGATATTATGCAAATGAGTTAGGTATAATGCAAATCAGTTAGATATTATGCAAATAAGTATATATTTTACATTCAACTTCTCAAAAATCAATGAAAATAATTCTATACAAAACACCCAAAAGTCTTTTCAGCGAAAATCAATTCCAGCTAAAATAAAGTATTTTACATTATTAAATTTTAATGAGAAACATGAATTCTTTATTGATAAAACATCATGAAAATAAAGCTTAGAAGGGGCACTTCAAATGTCTTCCTTGCATACTGTAGAACATGTTGAAAAAGCGAATTATGGTAAAATGACGTAATAGCGAAATGTTGATTTAGCGAATCTCTAATATCTTTGTTGATTTCCTGTTTTCACTATATTTGTCTGTCTCCTGCCATCCTGTTATCACCTCCATAAAAACAAAGAAAAACTATCAAGTGTAATAAGGAAGCACTCCAGATTATTACGTTTTTTTGTGTTGTTTACAAAGTGTGGAGAAAAAGACGTTTGGTCACCATTTTGAATTTATAATGAAGTCATTAGCGACATCTTAAATTAAATAGCGAATTAGTTCTCTCGCTAAATTCGTCAAAAAGACATGCTTGCAAAAAAGACATGTTTTACAGTATATCTTTGTCATACTGTTGACAGTTTTCGATTAGCATAGTCCCACAATGCAACTTGATGGGGTTCCAATTTTGCCATATTACATCTATGTGTATGAATGGAATGCATTGTTTGTTTGAACAAAAACAGTTTTTTTAACATTGACTACATTTTCATCTTTAATAGTGAACTTACTCTCCAATTTTTAAGTGACAAATGTTCCCATCCTCTTAGTAAAATAGTCTTGCCGAATTCTGAATTTGAATTATACCGGTAGTTCTAGATAAATATATAAATATAACTCCAAAATGAACACAATTTCGCATTGGCAACACATCTCGATAAAAAAAAGAAGGTGAGAGTTGACTTCACTGTTCAACAATCAGATGACCTAATCCATCTGATGCATAATCCGGTCACTTTTAATATACATTGGAAGCCATACGGTCATATATGAAGACGAGAGTTGATACAATACGTCAGATTTTAATCACACTGAAGGATACATTATGCACGTAATGTTGAACAGTTGAATTTATCCAATTCTTACGAAATATAAAATTACATTTTCATTAAATTGGTTCTGGAAATAAACTCATTTCTAGTCATGCTCATTGGCAGTCTTCAATGTAGAAAATAATTGAAGGTCGTCCTTATTTTTAAGACCCACTTTAAATGTTCTATAAATAAGAGCGGTATTTGCCCCAAGGACCTTGCCTACTACGTGACACAGTTGTAGAGATCATTAATAATGCTGATCATCGGAGCAAGTCAATGACAGGAAAATAATTGATACATCTATATACGAAATAACATATGCTTTGATAAATGAGAAAATTACAACCAATTGAATGTTTGTTTATTTGTAATTAGCACCAGACTATATAAAGTACGTCATACAGTATATTCAGTCATATTAATTGTGCCTGATGTAATGTGGTTAATTTGAGGTATTTCTCAATACATTCCACCGAAGGGTGACTCCACCTCCAACCACACATGCAAGCACACATACTAAGCAAGAATATCATAAGCAATTTAAAATGTAAATGTTGGATGAAAAACTTTTTACTATATTTGCTCTATTTGAAGCACAATCGATCTGTGCCAAAAATATTTATTTTGTTGGTATTTTGAATGTACAGAAATTACACTGATTCATTTATGGTAATTAACATTTTTACAGAACATTAAAATGCTAATTTCAAGTTGAGAAAATATGGTATTGTTAATTAGGGCCATTCAAAGATGGCAGCAAAACAGACCTGAAATGCATATGGTAGATCAGAACAGAACAGAACAGAACAGAACAGAACAGAATAGAATATTTAGCTTGAAATAATGTAAGAAATTACTGTAACAAAATTTATGACCAAAAAAACGATCAAAAGAACAATGAAAGTGTCTTTTAAACTCAACATTTCTTCAACATGGTTGAAGTTTGGTTGGTTTATACCAAAGTACCATTTCTGTCATCACTGTTTATTCTAAATAAAACAGTTACCGTATTTGCTCTATTAGAAGAGCATCTGTAATAGAAGCACATGTAAGCCAACAGATGCATTGTACAATGTATATTGATTTATTAAAATATGTATTTTGACCATAGAAACACCTCTGTCACTTTACATAAGTATACAAAATCAAAAAAATATTACCGATATTCATACCTATCTTGACCAGAAATAAGACCGATACTTATACCTAAAATCCAAAAAACGAGACCCATTTAAGGGGCACGTCCCCATTAGGCAAGTTCGATGTATTGCCCCCCCCCCCCCCCCGACGGGAGAGAGTGTCATATGCAACATGTATTTATCCGTTAAATAATTTCCACTTTCTCCTGTCTTCCCATCTAATGTATGTATTAAACCATGGTGATTGGATCTGTATATTCAATGATGGAAGCTTTAGAAGGGAGCACTAAGTTTTGGCAAAAACAAGTATCACGGCTCTTTTGCTCTCAATGAGAATTCAGCGTAAATTTTCGTCTGAAGTATTCATATATGGGAATCATATAAAAAGATGTCTTAGTATCATATCTGTCATGTTCTCGATAGGTGCTCACATAATTACTTGAAAAAATCTGTAACACAGCACTAACATTATGCATATTCATGACAAACAAATTTGTTACGCACAATCCTGAGACTTGTATTTGTTCTTTCTGTGAATCTGATGTTAATTCAGTTTTTAGCTCCGCTGTCGACTTTGTCATATGAGTGATTGTCCCTCGTCGTCGTGCGTGTCAATGTTTTACTTTTTCGACTTCTTCTTGAAAACTACAAGCCTGAATGCTTCGATACTTGGTGTATATGTACCTTGGGTAGACCTCTCTCAGATTTGTTCATTGCATGATGATATCTTCAATTCTCTAATTTTGATGAATATTTTTGTCATTTTTGGTAAAAAGTGATATTTTCAACTTCTTGTTAAAAACCGCAAGTCCAATTGCTTTGATATCACATATATAGGTACTACATGTGGTCCTCTCTCAGATTTGTTCATTTTGTGATGATATCTTTCATTCTCTAATTTTAGTGAATATTTTTTTAATTTTTGGTAGAAAGTGATATTTTTGACTTCTTGTTGAAAACTGCAAGTCTGATTGCTTTTATATTACATATATAGGTACTACATGGGGACCTCTTTCAGATTTGTAATTTCGTGGTTATATCTTCAATTATCTAATTTTGATGATTATTTTTGGCGAAAAGTGATATTTTTGAATTTTTGTTGAAAATAATCCTGTTGTTTTGATACTATACATATTGTTCATTTTCTAATAATGTCTTCTGTTCTTTAATTGCAATATTCATTGCATCAGCAGCAGAGCAGAGCTAACAGCAGAGCTATCTCTGCCAACAGGCTGCTTGTTTTGTGAGAAATGGAATACAAACACTGTCATGGCAGCTAGCAAATACATTTTGAATTTTAGAAAAACCAAACAGCTGCTCTCTCTCTCCAGTTTACATTTGGTTCATCCCTAGTAAATATTTGTAAAACAAGTATCTGGAATTGGTAAACTAAGTAAAGTGAGCAGACAAATTCAATTGTTTGTTCATGTGTAAAAAACAAATAACAGCATCTGCAGACAGTTGCTTACATAGCTGGTAATTGAGAAGAAAATAATTTGTGAAATCAACTTTATGTTTCAATGACTGATTTCTATAACTCATTAAATCAAGTATTTATTTAGCAAACTGAGCGATTTTTGAGTGCATTGAAACCTGTGACTGTCACTCACAGCTTTCCTGATTTAAAGCAATATACTTAGGCTTGATATTATGAATGGCTACATGTCTGCTATGTTTTTCTCGTCATGCAGTCACCACTTCCATTTTGTACATATAGGATCTCCTGCCAAATTTTATGGAGATTACCCCCTCTGTTCCCTTTTTAATTTCGCTGTCGACTTTGTTGAGCAGAGTTCATCATATTTGTCCATTGTCTGCGTTGTCCGAATCAACTTTTTAGTTTTTGACTCCTGTGTGCGAAGCACACAATGGAAGCCTTTGCAGTTACATGTAGTGTGTGTGTGTGTGTGTGTGTGTATGTGTGTATGTGTGTATGTGTGTCCATCTGTTCCACTGATATCTCAAGAACCATACATTGTCTTTTGATGAAGCTTGGTGCATAGATGCTCTGGGTAAATGCGCAGATTTGATTAGGTTTTGGTAAAAATCCATGCCTATTAGTTACCTAATTTGCATGATAATTAGCTGATTTTCAGCTGTTCCATAACTGTGCCACTGATATCTAAAGAAACACTCATTGGATTTTGATGAAACTTGGCACATAGATGCTCCAAACTAATGCGCAGATTTGATTAGTTTTGGGTGCAATCTATGCAATATTAATTACCTAATTTGCATAATGATTAATCAATTTTCGGCTTTTCACACTGATATCTCAAGCACTAATCATCACATTTCAATAAAACTTGGTACATAGATGTCATAGGACACTGCAGAGACCTGATTAGTTTTAGGGTAAATAATTGTGGATATTAATTACCTAATTTGCATAATTAGTTAATTGTTTCCATGAATGTTCCACTGATATATAAAGAACCACAAATTAGATTTTAATGAAATTTTTAAAAGTACTCATCCTCACATTTCAATGAATCTAGAACTATGCAGAAACCCAATTAGTTTTTGGTAAATATTTATGCTTAATAATCACCTAATTAACATAATTAATTAACACTGATATCTCAATTACTGATCAACACATTTGAATAAAATTTGGTACATAAATAAAGGACAATAGACAGGCCCGATTAATTTTGGGTTAAAATTTGTTCATATTAATACTCTAATTAGCATAATAATTCATAATTTTTTTGTTCTGTTCTGTTCTGTTCATATTAGTTACCTGATTTACATAATTAGTTTTCAGTTTTTCCATCAATATCTCAGGTACAAGTAGTTTTGAATTAATTTTTAATGTGTCTTCTCTCTTCTCCAGCACACTGGAGTTCTTTCTAAGCTTTCTTTGATTTAACTTCTTTTTGAAAACTATAAGCCTGATTGCTTGGGTGGGCAGATTTGTTCTTTTCATGATGATATCTTCAATCCAATTTTGGTGACTATTTTTGTCATTTTTGGTAAAAAGTGGTATTTTCATTAAAGTGTTAACGTAGTGTGAATTATTAAAACAAACATTGTATTTTACATGTGTTGTATACATCACTATGACCCCATAGTTGAAATGCTTTGTTCTTTGTTCTCCACAGCATTGGTTAGACCCATGTAAATTGATAAGTAGACAACTAAAAGGTAAGTGATATAAAGATTGGTGATTATTGTGAAGTGCACTTTCAAATTTTTTGTGAATTAAGAAACAATGTATGACCAAATGACAGCCATTTTTTCATGAAACCCAGTGTATCTCATTTCATTATACCGTCTTTGCTCTGTTAGAAGTACATCAATATTAGAAGTGCATCTCTGTTAGAAATGCATTAATATTAGAAGCGCATCTCCATTAGAAGTGCATCTCAGTTAGAAGTGCATCAATATTAGAAGCGCATCTCCATTAGAAACGCATCACCATTAGAAGTGCCTCTCTGTTAGAAATGCATTAATATTAGAAGCGCATCTCCATTAAAAATGCATCACCATTAGAAGCGCATCTTTTTTAGAAATGCATCAATATTAGAAGCGCATCTTTATTAAAAACGCATCGCTATTTAGAGGCATACCTCTATAGGAAATGCATCAATATTAGAAGCGCATGAAAATGCATCGCCATTAGTAGTGCATTGCCATTAGAAGCACAGGTGTGTCCATATATGGTCATAAGAAGTCATATTTTGCTGCACAGTATTTTTGTTTTTTAGTGATAGCGTAAAGTAATCAAAAACATAGAAATGTGTTGAAGGTTCGTGGAACACATGATTATTATGCTTTGCACAATTGCATTTTTGAACTCTGCACGCAAACTGCTGCATACTTACTCTATTTGATTTAACCAAGGTGTTTAATTTATGACATGCTCAGTAAATTTTCATATTCTTCACAAGTGGATATATATAGGTAGGACAATGTACACGTACAATGTACAATGATTTATGTTATTACAGAGCAGAGTATCTTGTTGCCATAGTAATTGCTCTAGACTTAAAATGATACACTGTAGAATACTTTATTTTCGCTTGGAATTTATTTTTGCTATTTTCGCTGGAGGGATGATTCAATGAAAATAAAATCCAGCGAATATACCTTTTTTCCTATATTTCACATTAAACTCATCAAAAATCAGTGAAAATAAATTCCATACAAAACGTCCAAAAAGCCTTTTCAGCGAAAATTAATTCCAGCGAAAATAAAGTATTCCACAGTATCAGAATTGTGAACTCAAGGGAGATATATTTTGTTGATAATCCATCTGTGGATTGAGAAGACCATCCAGATCATATCATTTATGTGTTACACAGTGTAACTTAAAGCGCGGTGGTCGTCACGCAGCGCGTTATCGATTTTCATGTAAATAAACAATGTATTTTACATGCGTTGGATGTGCTATGAGTCCCATATCGAACAGGACGCGGCGCGACGACTGCCGCCCTTTAAATAATCTTTACAATGATTATATATAGTAGTCTTTCTTTCTTTGCCTTTAACATAGATTATGGCAAATCTGTATGAATACAACATGTCTTTTTTTAAGTTGTAAATTTTTGTGGTTATATTTAATTCAAAAATTATTTAACACTTTTTCAAACTGTTATCGATCTTTATTTATATATATATATATCACTTGTATTAGTTGTTGCAAATTGTATATCTGTATTATTCAAAAAGTGGCTTCTATGCCCGAATTACCCATAAATGTTACAATTTTTAGCTTCTTTATAATGTAGATTTAAATTTAAACAAGAGTTTTTGATTTGCTATTGGGATGCTCTTTTGTAGTGCCATCTATGCATAAAGCCGATTGCGAGGGGGGAAAGAGGGGGGCAAGAGGGGTAGCTGGTACAGTTTTACGGGAAATAAAAAGGGCTTTTTACAATTTACAAGGGAAAAAAAGACGTTTTTACAGTGAAAATTTAATTTTGTAGTGAATTGTGTCATCTAGTCGTTTTACAGTTTCGAAAATGTAATTTCCCTGGATTATTCTTTACGACTTTTTTTATTTGGATGTAAATTCTTGTACATACCGAGAAAAATGACACATTTTTACAGTGTACGAAAAAAATATTTGATTGATTGTGATGTACGTCTAGCCTGTGATTACAGAATTACGGATTTTTTTTTCAATTTATGTTGTACAAACAAAAAAATATTACAATATTATTATTATTATTATTGAACGAAAATAACCCTTGCCCCCCTTTGATTGCTGATTGGATGCTGGGGTCAGTTTGTACTTCTAATTATCTGCATCTTTCAAAATCACTGTTGCTGCGATTGGTGGAATGGTTTTCAACTGCCATTTTGAATTTCTAAAATTTATTTAAATATTTATAAATTAACAATAAATCTCATCCATGGGTAATCAGAAAAGTGTGTACAATATATGCAAAATACATTGTTTACACAAAATTCAAACTCATACTGCGCAATAACTGTGCTGCTTTTAGTAACGGCAAAATTAAAGATTTTGATATACAATAGTTTTACTATGTATGAAACTTAGAGATGTCTTAATTGAAAAATATCCTGACATATACCACTATAAAATATGACATAAGGTATCATTTCAACTTGTTGCTTTCTTCTGTAATTGAGAAAATAAATATAAATATTTTTACAGTTTATGATCAAAAATTTCCATACGCCAAAAAGTCACAGTAACTTTTCAAGAAATTACCTACTCAACCATTTTACACACCATCATTTTTTCTCAATACAATTTTGATTCCAATTTTGCAAATTTTTTCAATTTTATTTTTCAATTTTGAATTGAACATAATTTCCTATTTGTTACAGAAATTGATCAACATTTTTGGGAAAAAAATTTAGATGAAATTATTGAAATGTGCATGATGAAAGTTAACTTACATGTTCAAAATATTAAGTCTTCAAATCGTGAGTGTATATAAATGCATCAATATAACATAATTGATGTTGTATAATTTCATATCAATGGAAAAGATAATTTATGTACATAGTTAATAGCACCTGCTACTGCAGTAATTACACACACTCTATGATCTATCTTTAAGTGTAATCGTTTCTGCAGCCCTATTAATGGCTGATTTAGTCTGGTCTCTTTTAATAGTTTCTGGTTAAATAAACTCAGGCTTATATCTTATTATAATATTACATGGCATATACATCTTTAAGTGTTCTAAACTGCACACCATTATTTTTCTAGGCAAAATTTCGGTGAAATATTTTGCAAACTTTTGTTTTCGTTAGTTAGTTTGGTTAGTTTTAGACCAAATGAAAGATAATTTCCTGTGATCGTATGACTGATTTAAATTTTGAAAAAAAATATGGATTCTGTGGATTTGTGAAAGATGATTAAAAGCAGACATTGTCATTTTAACAGAAATGCAATAATTGGAAAGTTACAGAAAATTATATTTTATTTCTGTGTTTTGTTTCCCTGTAATTTTATGAACGCTGAATCATGCAAATATTCTGAGGCCATGTTTCAAATTGTTTACGTACTCAAAATATTGTTTTAATATTTAAGTGTTAATATGACATTACATTGAGTATAGAATATGACACGTATCAAAACTAATATTACATATCTTATTCGTCAACAATTGAAATAATAATCCATACACAGCTACTTAAGTTTAAAATACTCAGACGATGTACATATTGTACAAAGTTATCAACATCATTGTATTGCCTCCATGTAAAAAAAATTAAATTGAGTATTAAAATAAAAAAACAAAAAATATACATGTACTGGTATAGGGTGAATATTAATATTGTTGATTAATAATTAGTATGCTTCATTGAATCCAATATAGGATTGATTAATCTATAAAAATAGAACACAAAACAATGAACGATGGCAGTAATCGATGTGTGACATTATATTGGTTGTGTGTCTATACAGTGCAGGGGAGATTGAGGGTTCAGTGGCTTGTCAGCTGCTGCTTAGCATAGAAGAGTCACCTGGTCTTTCCTTCTCAGGATGACAGCAAATAATTCTTTGACGGGAAATGAGATGTTTCTGTATCATCTGTTAAATGGGCCGCAGTCGTCTCGCCGCGTCCTGTTCGATATGGGACTCATAGCGATGTATACAACGTGTGTAAAATACATTGTTTATTTACATGAAACTCGTACACACTCTACGCGACGACCGCCGCGCTTTAATTATGCACGTAAAAGAACACAGTCACAATGGCGTCAAATATCATAGATTACCGCAGATTATCTGGAACTTTATTTGAAATGCAAAGCTGTATTTAGAGCAACAGTAGAATACTAATTAAATGTTATTTACGATTTATTGGCGTTTGCAAAAATAAAATTTCTAAATAGTCATTGTGATTTTAGGACCCCTGAGTGAATTTGTTATTGCTACAAAAGTTTATAATTTTCACCGACGGTATTTGGATACTATTAAAACTTATCACTAGATT